TCAAATTCCTCATGTGTGAGACGTCACTTACTATAGTTGGGCTTCGACTTTGGCTTATACCGAGCTCTGTAACTTCGGCAGACAAAATGCATTTAGCTTTAGGGCATCATTTTTAACATAGGATTGCTTCGATAGATGTGGTTCTCTGACAAAAATGGGTTAGCTAGTTCAATAATCGACCAATGGGCCTCGATGGGCTTGTCACATGGAGCCACATGTGGCGAGGCGTAACATTTTGATTGAAAGACATTTTAATTTTCCCAATTATTAGTGTATTCCAATATTTATTTGGTGGATTCCAAATGGGTATTAAGTTCGTTTGAGCGAAATTTGAGCAAACACCCATTCCTGTATTGTGAACAAGAGTCTTTTATTATTGTTCAGGTTTTCGTCCTACGTCAAGTGGTATCAAAGCGATGGCAGATGATCAGATTAACGTTGTAGAGTTGAAAATTTGCGACTCATATGCAAGAATTCGGCAATCAACTTAAGGATGTGCTAGCTGCCATAAATCTTGGAGTCGATAATCCTAGGCAATAACCACCTATCGACCTTGTTTAGGTTGTTTCTCCTGTCAATTTGGTCCGAGTTCTGGCCCTAGTTCTTTATCATGGTCATCATGATGACTATGATGGTTACAAAGTTAAGGCGAAGATTCCTATTTTCAATGGGAGTTTAGATGATGGGGCATTTCTTGATTGGTTAAATGAGTTTGAAAGGTTTTTCAAAATTATAGAGTTTAGTGAGAAATGAAAGGTTGCAATTGTGGTGTGCAAACTTAATGGAAGGGAAGGAGTATGCTGGCAAAGTATATACGATGAATATTAGATGTTAAGACAACATCCTGTAAGAGATTGGATCATGATGAAAGAATTGTTGCAGTAATGATTTCTTTATAGAGACTATATGTAGGCCTTGTATCGACAATTTTTAGATTGCAAACAAGGAAGCCATTCGGTGGTCGCCTATACCAAAGTGTTCTTGAGGCTACAATCTCATTGTGATGTAATGGAGGTTGATGATTATCAGATTGCACGGTTTGTAAGGGGATTAAAGTACATGATTTAGGATAAGATAGGGGTTCAACCCATTCATTCATTAATAGATGCTAGAGAGATGGCGTTCTGAATAGAATCATTACTTACACAGCAAACATGATGTCCTTTACCATTTAGGAAAAATTTAGATAATACAATTTAAAAGACAGCAAAAGGATCGCATCTATCTCAAACCACGACTAAACCGCATGCAATTGTAGTGGAATCAAAATGGCAGTACCAGAGAAAATCAACTATTCAGGCAGCAAATAATACTTGTGCAAAACTGGTTGTTGAGAAGTGTTACAAGTGCGAAAAAGCAAGCATAAATCAAAGAATGTCCTGATTGAAGACCTGTACATATGACAGAAACAAAGTAATGAAGATGATGAAGATCAAGAATATGTCGGAGAAGAGGGAGAGGAAGAGGAAGAATATGCAGATGAAGTTTGTGGAGAACAAGAAGGAGATTTTGTATGTAGTGCAAAAGTTCTTATGTTTACCTAAGCAAGAAGAATTAACTCAACGTAGGAAGATCTTTTATGCTAAGTGTTGAGTTCGAGATGTTGTTTGCAGTTTGATCATTGACAGTTGCAGTTGTGAGAATTTGATCACGAAGAAGCTGGTGGATCATCTGAAGTTGCCAATCGATCCACATCCAGCTCCTTATCAGATTGTATTAAGAAGTGTCAATCCATTCAAGTGTCTCAATTTTGTAAGGTACATTTGTCAAAGAAGACTTATTACAAATCAGAAGTTATTTGTGATGTTGTTGGGATTGATGCATATCATGTTCGATTGGACAAATCATGACAGATCGATATGGATGTCATAAATAAGGGTAGAGAGAATACCTTTAAGTTTAACTAGAGGGATAAAAATATTACGGTTGAACGATCATGAAGGGTACAAAAACATTCTAAAGTGGAAGAGAAAATATTCTTGGCTAGTACAAATTTAACCAGTGAAAGAGCATTTATACCTTGATGACAATTCAGCATCAAGTTATTTTGAAGTGAAAGGAAATAATGTAGGACAATTAGAAGATAAAATCATAAATCAATTAATAATGTTGTCACATTTCACCTGTTTTTGGCCCATTTATTACCTAGTCCTAAAGCTATAAATATGACTCTTGTTTGGGACAGAAGTCTGTCAATTGAACAGAAGAGAGGAGCCGTTTTATGTGAAATACTCTCCTTTGTGCTTGAGTTTCGACCTACTGCTACTCTCTTATTATTATTCTTCTTTATCTTCTCTTTTGTGGTTAATTGCAACCACTATTATTCTATCCATTGTGGGAGATATAAACAGGGCGACGAAAGTGAATAGAGGGTTGTGGGTTGAGCCTTTTGTTGGTGTCTAATATCGATTTTGTTAAACCGAGCCTGGATTGCATCAAATCGAAAATCTTGGAGCATACTTCCCCTACAAATAATGTGATTCAACACTACAATGTTGAAATCATTTTAAATTGTTGGGAAGTTTACTAGACTTTTGGATTCAAGTGCAGACTTTTATTTTTTAATATAAAGATTTCATCTTCCATTGGTCGAGCTCCAAATTTCCTCAATCAAAACTACTTTTTCCAAGGTTGTCTTTAAAGTTGTAGACACCAACAATTTTCTATGTTCTTGAAGTTAAATACTTATAATCAGTGTTCTAAAAAGTGTAAAGTGTGGTTATACTTGGAGGCCAAGCTTCAAGTTTTACGAGTCCAGGCGAGCCTATGTATAAAAAATCATTTTTTATTTTTAGTATAAATTTTTTTATCATTTTAAAAATTATTTAATAATTAAAATAATACATACCAAACATCTAAAATTATAGAGTACTATTTACAATAAGTCAAATATACAATTTTCAAAATTTTAAAATGCAAAAGTAAGACTGTTTTTCATAATTTCAACTTTCACGCTTGTTTGATTTGGACTAAAATCAAATTTTAATTTAAGTCAAAGTCGAACAATCAATATTAACCACATCTTTCATAGATCCCATAACTTTTGAACAACACATTTCAAAAATTTCTATTACAATATACTAAAAAGTCTAATTTTAATTCCCACCAAACATCCTCGTCCTACTTGAATTTTTTTAAGGTATTTTCATTTTTGACTTTTTATTGATAAAATCATTTAAAAATTTGAAACTAAAGTCAAATAATTGAGTTTTAGAAAAGTAAAAAAATAAAAAAAATTAATAAAGCGCAACTAGGCGATCAGTTTCAAGATATGGCGTTTCATCCAAGTCTCGTCTCGAGCCTAGGCGACACTTAGACAGACTTTTTAGAACACTGCTTATAATTGCAACCATGTCATTGTTTATAGATAAAGCATGTAAATTGTAATGATCATAAATTATGAGGATGAGGTCATCTGTGATGCAGTTGATATGGATGCTGGCCATGTCCTTTTACAAAGACCGTGGAAATTTGATGTTGACGCCACTTGTTAAGTTTGAGACAACACTTGCATATTATGGTTGAACAGGAAGAAGATAATCTTGTTTCCCAAACAAAGGCAATTCGAAGATATCAGTGCTATTAAAGGTGAATGGTAGCTCTTTTCTAGCGTTTTTGGGCCTGAATTTCATGAAAAAGTAAAAGAATCAAATTTTGGAATGGCACTAGTAGGTAAAGACACACCCGATGAATCATATAAAATCCCTTATAAAATTCACGCTTTTCTAAAAGAATTTTCTGATCTGTCACCCAAGAATTGCCTAACAAACTACCACCTATGTGGAATATTCAACATCAAATTGATTTAGTATCTAAATCTAGTTTACCTATCCTACCACATTACAGCATGAGTCTAGCTGATATGCCGAACTTTAATGACATTTAATTAAAAATTAGAAAATATATTAAATCGTGAGAGTATGCATCCTTGTGCAGTTAATGCTTTGCTTACTCCAAAGAAGGATAGAAATCAGAGATTGTGTTGTGAAGACAGTCGCGCGATTAATAAAATTTCTGTCAAATATCAATTTGGTGTGGTTAAATGACATGGTTTACAAATTGCGAGGCTTAGATTTTTCATCCCCCCCCCCACCCCCCCTCTCCCAAAAAAAAAAAAAACTTGATTAGAATAGCTGATATCATTAAATACATATTCGATTGAGAGATGAATGGAAAACAACATTCAAAAAAGGGCAGATTATATGAATGGCTTATGATGCCTTTTGGGTTATCAAATGCTCCAAGTACCTTATGTAGTTAAGGAATCAAGTATCTTGGCCATTCATTTGAAAATTCGTAGTAATTTATTTTAATAATATTCTTGTTTATAGTCAATGTGACGAATATCACTTGTTGCATCTTCGACAGGTATTTGTGGCTTTAAGAACTAACAAGTTGTATGTCATTATGTCAATATGAAGAAATGCAGTTTTATGACTCATCAGCTTTTATTCCTGAGATTTGTTGTCGAAGCCAATGGGATTCAAGTTAACGAATGCAATGTAAAGGCAATTTGAGAATGGCCAACCCCCCTCCGGTATGAGGAGTTCAAAGTTTCATAGCTTAGCTACTTTAATCGGCGTTTTATATGGAAAATTTAGTTTTATTATGGCTAGCTATTGCTCAAAGAAAGGTAAGTTCCATAGTGGAACGCACAAGATACAAGTTTCCAACAAATTAAACAAAGTTATGTACTACACGTCTACACATGTTCCAGCGTTGCTGAATTTTTGACAAAGTGTTAGGCATGATGTTGTCAAACGACCTCCCGGGCGATGATGAGAACCAATTTTATCAGTCAACATGAATGACTGAACGATAATTCAACATCGAATAATGGATGAACCGACCAAACGTTGCTTTACCTATTGGACGGCTAATACTCTTTGTGGCTTGTTGTTTCTTTCCATTGGGACTTAACCCTAGTCGAGCCTACTTACCATATCTTGACTTACCTTATGTTGGCCACTTGACTAATATATATATTGGTGTTTTTCTCCCTACTCTAACCTGTCCATATAGAACCCGAGAGCAACAAGAGAGACTGCCGTGTTCTTCTTCTGCCTTCTTCTTCGTGATTTGTCTTCCATGCCAATTGCTTGAGCCTTTGTGACTCTTACCTGTGTGGTATCCATCCTAAGTGTGTGGATTGAATCAACAAGCAAAAGAGGAAAGCAACCATAGGAGAAGAGAAGCCGGCGGATCGGCTGCAACCTTGATTTCCGGCCAATCCAGCCACTTTTCGGCGAAACCGAACCCATATCCAGGTTCAGCAGGCTGAGGCGCTCCCTCGGCTGTGGCGCGTGGCGGTGGCGGCGGCGCGTGGCGGCGGTTCCGGGCGAGCTTCCTTCGAGCAGTTTGCTTATTTTATTCTCCTGAACGTCCTTCGGTTTTGATGTTGAATTCGATGTTTAATGGTTAACTGAGCCCGGAAATCACTTTGAGCAGCTTAAGGAAGATCCTAACACAAAGTTTTTGAGGTAGAGTGAGATGCTTTCGTTCAAGGCATAGGAGCTGTATTGTCTCACAAGAAATGGCCGGTGGAATTTTTCAGAAAAAATGGAGATGATACTCGAAAGAATTCGACTACTTATGAACTTAATTTTTTCAGTCGTTCGAGAATATTGGGAACATTACTTAATTCTAAGATAGTTTGTTTTGTTTACCAGTCATCAAACTTTGAAGTTCATCAACGTCAAAAACCAATGAACCACTTGCATGCACTGTGGATTATGCTATCTACAAAAATTCACATTTCGATCAAAGCATAAGTCCAGCAAATAGAATAAAGTAGTTGATGCATTGAGTAGACAGCCACGATTTACATAAGATTTATTGTTTATGATGGCTTGAGAGAGTCTTAAATAAACGACGATAATTTCAGAGATTTTTGGGCCAAATGTAGAACTTCAGGCGCTACTGGTGATTAGGAATTTTTGTTGAAAGGCAATTGACTTTGTATTCCCTGCTTTCACAAGAATATTTAATTCAAGAACGAAATGTTGGAGGACCGACGTCCATGTTGGTCGTTAGATAAAAAAAATAAGCCAGATAGAAGAATGATGTTTTGGCATCCACTCAAAAAAGACGTTCGTCGATTTGTTAGACATTGCCCTATATGACAACGGGCTAAAGGCCAAGGCCAAGCATGAAATGCTGACCTTTATCTATTCCGAAGATAATTTGGAAGGATATGACCAGGGATTTTGGTATTGGACTCCCTCAGACTTAATATGGATACAATTCTATTTTTGCAATCGTTCGGTTCTCCGGAATGATGCAGTTTATTCCTTGCAAGAGAACGTCAAATAACTCTCATGTAGCTCATTTATTTTCAAGAATGTTATTCATCTTTATGGTGTTCCTACTTCTATTATTTCCAATAGCAATATCAAATTTCTAAGTGATTTCTAGAAGACACTTTGGAAGAATTTGATACTTAAAATATAGCAATATTAGTCATCCACAAACTGATGGCCAGACCAAGGTGGCTTATCGTACATGGTAACATGATGCGATGTGTTTGTAGTGATGACTCTAAGCATTTGGATGTAGCTTTAACACAAATTAAATTTGCTTTCAATAGTATGCCTAACTGTTCAACTAAAAGATAAGAAGATTAATTCATTTTAAGTATTGAAGAAAATAGGAGACAATGCCTAGAAGACTGATCTTTGTGTGGACATGAACATTTCCTATGCATTCCATGTTGACACATCTTTAAAATTATTGAACACACGAATATTCTATTCCAACAATAAGCTCGAGGTCGAGAATTATAAAATAGTTTAATCTAAAAATAAATTCATTTTATTATAATATCTATAATTACGTACAAAATATACACTAAAATTTTATGATTATATTTATTTGGTCAAAAGAAGAACGGAGAAATATATTTTTTTCATTCTTAGAGAGGGCAATTCCCAAAAGTTATCTGTGTGATGAGAGAGTCACCAGCATACAATAACTGTGCACGCTTTAAACTAGCAACAAAGTTACTTTCTCATATGGTATGGAAACTATACATACTGAGAGTCGTAATTTAGGATAACAAACTCAATAACCATTGCAGCAGTTGTGGAAGCTCCAAGCTAAGAAAATATAATCTTGTAAGCTGGGGGAAACTATATCAATGGAACATCATTAATTCGGCAAATCTATACAGTCAACATGTTAGGCAATTTTGTTGTCAAACGACCTCCTCGGGCGATGATGTAACCTCGGTTGTTTATTATCAATCGGCCTCGGCCTAATGATTGATTAGCACATCGACACAATTAACGAGACAACATAATCCATTTTCTTATGAACCGTTCGAAGTAACCTATTTTATAGTGTTGCTCACGGTTCCCGCACCATTCCTTGGAAGGCTATATTATTATTGTTGAGGCCCAATTATTTGAGTCGAGCCTTG